GCCGCCATGCACTTCGTCGCTGAGGCCACGGGCGACGCCTTCTCCTTCGTCGAGAACCAGGCGACGATCCGAGACGCGTTTCGCGCGTGGCCGTACGTGCAGTGCAGGAGGCGCGCGCCGCCATCGCCTGCCTGTACTGGGATGTCCGGGCCGGGTCCAAAGAAGTCAAGTCCGGTGCCTACGGCAGCCACGTGGGCGCCGATGGCCGTGCCACCCTCCATCGACGTCGGCGACGAAAGGCTGTCTTGAGCCTGTCGTGCTCGTTCCCGTTGGCCGCGCTCGTCCTCAACCTGTTCTGCACCCCACTGGTCGACGTGGCCCGCGAGCTCATTGTGCTGACGTACGTGTAATTCACCTGCAACGCTGCAGTGCTCTCGTTCTTCCTGCGCCTGCCGAGTAGGGTGGACGGACAATTTTTGGAGATGGACGGCACGCGAGCTCCGTGGGCACGCGAGCTCCCAGAGCGTGCTGCTGTACCAGGGCGTCTGCGACCTCTGGGACGGCGTCGTGTCCACATAGGCGTGGCTGGCCGGACACCCCGGCAGGGCCAGTCTGATCCCATTTTCTCGCACTGCCGTGAGGAAAGCGCGTCGGGGACCGCGCTGGTGGAAGGCTGGCCGCGAGGGAAGCGCACCGGGGGCCGCACTGGTGGATGGCCAACCGTGAGGGAAGCAACTGCGAGGAAACCTCGTGGGTGGACGGCTGGCCGCCGACATCGCGCATGAGGGAGACGACGGCCGCGGACGCCGCCGCACGCGAATGGGACTGAGGTAAGACGTGACTATAGCAGGGTGCTTTCTGTAAAAAATTTAGCCTAGTCAGCGTCTCCCGAAGGGTTATGGACCTCTGGTGCACCACTTAACAAGTTTAGGAGGTCAAATTTTGATTTCGAGAGTTCGTGGACCCAAGTGGCACAACGCCACAAGTTTAAGGGCCGCCAGTGTATTTAACTCATAATTTAATCTCCATGCGAGGTCATTCCTAAGTAGTCTTTTTGTGATTATGATAATAGATTGCTACCTAGTGATATTATATAGAGAGGTAAAGCAAGTATTTGGAGAGAGACATGGAGGCAGAGAAGACTATTGTGGACGTCCAAAACAAGTTGGGCCCTAGTCTATATCAAGTTCGAGTCCATCATGAACCTCCAAGAGCATCCTGCACTAAGATCAGTCACACACGGACTCTGTTTTCGACGTTCTATGTATGCACAGAAAGATAAGAAGATAATTTTTCCAATAGATCTGGTCTCACATTCAAACTATGTACGAGTCAATGACAAACATCAAAATAAGTGAACATACATAATTTGCTAGGGTTCTGCATCCCTGTCTTTTGGGTCATTGGGCCATGTATCTTGGTAGAGTCCATTTAAGGATGCGGACAGGGGTCCTTGGCCACAAGTATCACTTTTACATAGTCATGGCCCGACTTAGGGTTTGGATTGTGCTTAGATTAATATGTCATTGAAAAGGTTCACCATTCTTCAGTTTGTGAGACCCCTACATATGAGCTTAATCTTATTTGCACTATCTTAGATTGTGTACTTTCGTGTTCTTGATTCACAGATAGAAATTAGCCTTTGTAGCAAAGTCATCTGGGTTGTGCTAAGTTAATAACTAGAGGAGATGTGGTGCCGCAGTTGCAGGGTTTTGGTCTTTGCGATATAAAGTTGGACCGTGTGTGTCCATTCTCCACTAAATTAAGAGTTACCCTTCCAGCTGACAGAAAGATCGGACACCTCTATTTTTCACCAAGTGATAATTAGAGCTTCAAATTTTGATGTGCCTTCCCTAGCTTAATTGGAACTACTCTTTTCACCTTAGCTGTCAGACACGTATATAGAAACTTTACCAAGTGTGTGAGAGTCATCAAAGTCTAGATTGTCGATATGTGAGAGTGTGCTTTGTGTGCATCGGTATTCTTGGCTTGATTTCCATCAATGTGTTGTTGAAGACATGCTACTCCCACCTACATGGCCTAGCGGAGGACTAGGTGACCTTTTCAACGAAGTCTTTTATTGCGAGTCTCCTATCAGTGTGCATGGTTTGAAACTCGCCGTTCTAGATTGAAAAGTGGGTATTTAGTGGAGACTTGGGACTCAGAGACTCAAGAGGGCTAAGCTGAGACTTTGTGACTTTTTTCGGTGCTTCAACATAGACTAGGGAGGCGTGGCACCAACCTAATACCAAGAGAAAAAATCGTTTGTTGCTTTGCCTCTTTTATATTGGACTAGTGGGTTGTGTCAACAACCTTATACCATGTGAAAAAATTCTGATCGTCTCTTTGTCTATTTTATGTTTTTGTATTACTTTCATGTCTTAATTAGGATTGTGCTTTTGTTTCTTACGGTGTGCAACTTCTTCTGTGTAACTAGGATTACACGGCAGAATATGCTTAGTGATAGGTTTATCTTCCATAACTAAGGACCCTACTATTAGTGTAAACCTTGCTAATGACAAGATTAGGATGATGTCCATAAGGATTTACTAGTGTGATTTTTTTTAATCCTAGGTGCCTCAGTGAAAGTGGGTGAAATAGATTTGGTAGGCTAAAGTTGTTACTTCGATTTTTTAGCACAACCTACCCCACTCTCTCGTCCATACGTACTTTTTCACCCTCAAAGGGATTTTCCCCATGGTATCGACAGAATAATTGCCATATATACACTATATCTGAGACAAAAAGGCTATTGCTCCAGTCAGCAAACCACGCCCAAATCAACGCCCTGATCGTTTGGGCTTGTTTAACTTATAAGACATGACTGAAAGTATTATTGGCTGGTTTGGTGTGAGAGAAAAATACTGTTCGTTGGCCGATAAGCTATGGCTTATAATACGAATGACCAAGCGAACAGGCTGCAAGTCTCTTTCAACTACCTATGCAAAGAGATGGCCTCATGTCAGATGAGCGCACTTCTTATAATGAAGTCTCTTACAAACGCTCCACACCAGAGCCAAAGGGCGTGTTCGGCTGGCTGGCTAGTTGGCTGGTGCTGGCCAGCCCACTCACGTGGGCATTGTTCACATGAACAGTGTCTTTCAGCCGGAACAATATTTTTTTTTTCACAACAACTCAGCCGAAACAGTATTTTTGCTTATTCAATCAGCCAGCCGAACACTCCCAAGAGCTCAATAAACTTGGATTGCAAAAGCTCAAGGTGTTAGCGAGGGATGAAGGCCCAAGGCACCAACAACATCGGAGTCACACAGAGACCAAGGACATCACTCCTTTGCACAACGCTCCTCAAGTTGCTGTGCCCAGACCAGTCACTACAGTTTGATTATGATAATTTACCTTCAGTTGGCTAAATTTTGAGTCAGCTTGAGAATCTAGAAAAGGTAAAATTGCATCACTGTATAGTGTATACCATACTTTATAGTTTTGCATATATCCTGTGATAGATACTTATAATATTGCTTCACGCTCAAACAAACAAGTTACTTTTCACCATCTTTTACAAGCTAAAACAAACATGATTTCTTTGGTGTGGATTTGGCCCATTTTAGTGGCTTACGCTAGCACGTGTTATGTATTTGCTCTCTCCTGCTTTGTTTGCTATTGTGATAAAACTAGAGTGTCCAGCGTATTTTCTCCTCTAAGGTTTTGTTTGGCTGCACTTATATCTATCTCAATCCACATGCATTGGGATAGTTTGTTTATGCTAGTTTAAAGTTCTGAACTGGCGTTCAAAAAATAAAAAATAATCAAAGCGTTGAGGATAAATTTTGTTTTTTCACCAAAAATCAGATTATATAAGTAGAAACAAATAAGGCCACCACTTATTTTATCGGCTGATAAACCGAACAGATGTTGTTTTATTATGAAAGAAAACACTATACTATAAGTGATAAGCCGAGTTGATAAGTTCTAAGCGAACGAGGTGCTAACAACACAAATCTGGAGGTGCAACTTCTATGCTCCCTGCCCGGCCATCCCTCCTTGTCTTTTCTCCCTATATAGAGCCCTCGCACAACTCTTTTGTCTTCGGCTCTGGAGGAAAGCTTCATTTTTAAAATTAGAAATGCTATACAACACATATGTGTTTTAGAAAAAAAAAACACATGGTTTTTTTTATCTCTCTCCCTCTCTCTTTCTCATCGGTGACCACTAGCGTCGGCGCCGGCGATCGGCGAGCTCGTCCCAACGGATCTATGATATGTCCTTCATAAAAAAATTGTGATATGTGATCTGTGGAGGTTGGAGGTAGAAAAAGGTGAAGGTTGTTGATCTTAATCCTATGATGCAAAAAAATCATGTATTAAAATGGTATAAAACACATAGTTGTGCACTAGACAGACTCTTTCAAAATACAGTGCCTCATAACTAACTCACACGTGCATGTTCATCGCAAACCATACAATTTGCTGTGTCAAAAACTCAAAATAGTCGCATATCTCGCAATTTAGAGCCTCTTTGGCAGGGCTCCTGACAGGGCTTTAGCTCCGGCTCCTGCATGAGCTGTGCCAAACGCCTGTTTTGGAAAGGGCTCAGCATGGGAAGTCAGTCAAGAGCCGAGCTATATTTTATCTGCGCAGGAGAAGCCTAAAAAACGAGCTTCGTGTGGTTCTTGCTATGAGTTCACGTCGTCTAGTGTGAAGAAACTGTTTTACCAAACGTTTTTCCAGAACGGCTTCAACTCCTCCAGAGAAGCTGCTACTTCGTGAGCCAGAGACTCAAAGCCCTGCCAAACAGGCTGGTGTGCCTGCGCTCCTGCGTGTCTGACTGTCCAGCTGCAGATTCTCTCACGAGTCTAATCATAGGCCAGGCCAGGGGTAAAAGCGAAAATATTTCTACGTTCTCTTCCAGGTGGGCCCTTTCCCTCCCCGTCTTCCCCTTCTCCCCTCACCCTCTCCCTCGACGATACACTTCTCCACCGCCCCGGATCTACCTGGCCGCGTCGGCGCGCAGCTCACCCACCGAAGCGAGGAGGCAATCGAGGCGGACGAAGCGCCGCACCAAATTCGACGGGGGATCGAGCACTGGAGGCGTAGAGCAAAATGTTCAAGTTCCTCAAGGAGGTGGTCGCGGGTTCCGGATCGGGCCTCAAGGACTTCCCCTACACCATCGGTGAGCCCTACGCATCCTCCTGGGGCTCATGGACACACCACCGCGGTACCTCCAAGGTACGCTTCCGCATCATGCCACCCCTTCTCACCCGATCGATCAGTCCCCCTTAGATGTGTCGTTTTGGTTCGTCAACTGGTACGGTTCGGTAGAACTGGTTCCGCTGGTCGAATTCGGGGAGGAACGAACTATGCACGCTATGCTTCGCGTGTACTTTGCTGTGTGGTTCTGTGCTATGTGGCTGCATATGCTCTTGATTTTGTGGGTGTGCGCTTTGTAGCATTTTGAGCAGTCGAAGGGTAGGTGTGACTATGTTGGACTATTGCTAGCTTTAGTAGCCCTTCAGAAGCATAATTGCTGGATTCGTTGTAGAGTTGATTCGAGGCTAGTCTGGTTAAGCCAACGAAGGATATTTGGTTGTACTTTAGATTTCGTGTGATGTAGTTGTGTGCAGTTATCTAAACTTCGATCTGCTTGTTTGACTATGGAGCTCATTTACAGTGCCATGCCATCCAACTTGGTGAGGGTCAGAGGATATTGAGGATGTTACTGCTACTAGCTCTTATGTTGCATTCACCAATCACCATACCATCCAACTTTGTGTGATATAGTTATGTGCAGTTATTTAAACTTTGTCTGCTTGTTTGACTGTGCACACATCTTATCTCACTATTACATCACATCAGCTATAGGCTGAGAAGACGATAAAGCAAATAAACGCAAAACCATGGATGACTTGCAAAACTAGTAATTCTTAATATATTGTCAAATACACAGAAGTTTAGAGAACATGGGTCATATTACCACTCAGGTTTTTGTCACTGTGATATTGCGCACTGTCAATGGAGTTTTGTTATTCATCCTAGGTTTACCATCAATACTGAATTTTCATATGCAATTTTGATTTCTTAAGTAGTCTATCCTTTTTTCCCACCAAATGATTATTTTGTCTGAATTTTTGTTAGATTTGTATGCCACTGCCAACATTGTTTGTTGCCTTGTCTTCTCCAGGATGATGGGTCGCCTGTGTCAATTTTTTCTCTGTCAGGGAGCAACCCTCAGGACAGACACATGGTTGCTGGTCGCAATGGTGTTAAGAGATTACGAACAGTAAGCTAACAACTTCAGTCATTGGGTTCTGATTACCGGTATTCAATAGTGCTGTACCTTTTAGACTTGAGGAGCAGTCTGTGGTGGCAAAATGTCAAGTCTTCAAAAAAGAATGCTGGCAACAGAGCTTTCTTTCAGAAAATCTAGACAACATCGTAAAAATATATAGGCCAAATGAGAAGGCAAAATGCCAAAAAAGAAAATGGAAATGTTTTTTTTGGCGATATTTCAGCATTCAACATTATATACCTCTATGTGCTCTTCCATCCACAACACTACTGAATTGTTTCTGTTATATCTTACTTCCACCAGAAGTAGAAAACTTTTTTTGGGGGGTTAACTTGACCTTTTGTTTCCTCAATATATGCTAAGTCAGTGCAGTGCTGCTTTGGTTACTGCAGGTGCGGCATCCAAATATCTTATCCTTTTTACGCAGTACTGAAGCAGAAGTTGCGGATGGACCTGCCATGAAACACATAATTTATATTGTAACAGAGCCTGTTATGCCACTTTCTGAAAAGCTCAAGGAACTGAATCTTGGTGGTGCACAGAGGTACCATGAGCTTCTTGTAGTTTTGTGTTTATCAAAATGTTCTTTTCAGAAAGAAAAATTCTGCAGTTTCTAGCATTTTTTTCAGTAGGTTTTAATTCAGTTCTGTTAATGTTTCCTTTTTTGGAACATTGAACTACTTTGTCATTATGGTTAATGGTGCAGAGATGAGTACTTTGCATGGGGGCTTCACCAGATATCCAAAGCTGTGAGCTTTCTCAATAATGACTGCAAACTTGTAAGTTCCTGCATCAAGTTGAAGTTCGGAACGTAATATGCAATCCGGCTCGTTTTAATCTCTCCTTAGATGCAAGATAAAACATTCCATTTTGTTGCTTCGTGACATTTCCATGTAGATTTGCATTGATTTGTTCTGATAATCCCTTCTTGCTTGTAACAATTGTTTTATTTAGTTATAGATGATGAAGCGATCTTATGAAGCATGTGGTTGTGAATTTGTGTATGCTGCTTGCAGCACAGTTGTTCTTAAAATAGGTTAGGTTTTTTGTTGTATCGTTCTTCAGTCTCGACCTAGAACATTTCCATGTTTTGATTATTGATGTGGTCATTTGGGTGCCTTGTACAGATGTTATTGGATCATATAGTCATTTAAATCAAAACAGTGGGGGTCTTAACACATAATTAGAAATTACAGATGCTGTAAATGATTTGATCGTTAAATGACCTGTTTCATCACTTGATCAATATAGGTTCATGGTAATGTATGCTTGGCCAGTGTTGTTGTTACACAAACCCTGGATTGGAAGCTTCATGCTTTTGATGTTCTGTCAGAATTTGATGCTAACAATGAAGCCTCTGGTAGCCCCATGTTGGTAAGGACTTGATCCACACCTTTATTTATATTAGTTAGACATGCTGCCTGTACAATTCCCTCTCCGATGTCATTTGGGTAATACTCAAAGTCAAACAGTGCTCCTACAAAATATATTTGAAACTTGTTTTATTTCGACACTTGTTGTGTTAAGGTCAACTTTAACCAAAAAAGTTAGAAGGGTTTAATTCATATTAGTACCATGGAAATCGAGGAAAAGAGATGGACTATATAATTACATTCCTTGATAAATAAAGTAATAAAATGTTTACTTTATCTGAATTTGTTCCCATGCATGTGTTTTTCTTTTTGCAGCAATTTGAATGGTTAGTTGGAACACAGTACAAGCCAATGGAGCTGTCAAAGTCAGATTGGGCTTCAATTAGAAAATCACCTCCGTGGGCCATTGATTCTTGGGGACTGGGTGAGCATAAATAACTCTTAATGGTTCCTCCTCATGCATGGCATGCTTGTTATGGTTGTGCTTATAATTTTTTTGGTTACTATATATGGGAGAAGTTGTGTTCTAGAGGTTAAATAATAGTACTGAGCTTTTGCATTCTACATAAATGTCATGAGGGGCTAAAAAAAATGTCAAAATCAAAATAATAAATTGATAAACTGATGCCATTTGAACTTGTCTGTTGTTTGCTTTCGGTGGTCTTCATCATTGGTTGTTATTTCCTGAAAGCTGAAACAATGAGAACATGACACTCATTGCAGGGTGTTTAATTTATGAACTCTTTTCTGGTGCAAAGCTGGCTAGAACAGAGGACCTTCGAAATACTGCTTCAATCCCAAAGGTTAGCTCACATGATTTCACCTCGTCACTTATTTCGCACCGTGCAATAACCTTTATTGGTTTTGGAGTTTCCCACTGTTCTAACTGCAGAAGTTTGTATGCATTTGTGTCTTTTTGGTTATTGACTATTTTCTTCCCTGTAGTCTCTACTTCCAGATTACCAGAGGCTCTTGCATTCCACACCTTCTCGTAGACTAAATCCTTCAAAACTTATTGACAACAGCGGTAAGCCCAACGTATTTTCCGTGTCGTTCAGCCAACTTTTGGGGTGACAATTTATCTAGTTATAATACATTCTTCAGTGCTTAGTCTTACCACAATTATTGTCCTCCATGTGGGAATATGCTTTGTTCAAAAAGTTGAAATGGTGTCTTTGGCTCTCTGTTTTCAGAGTTTTTCCAGAATAAGTTAGTAGAGACCATCCAGTTCATGGAAATTCTTAATTTGAAAGACACCTTTGAGAAAGACAGCTTTTTCCGGAAACTCCCCAATATAGCTGAACAGCTTCCCCGTGAAATAGTCCTGAAAAAGGTACTTCCAAAGTCTCAAGTAGAACCCTCTATTCACCCATTCATGATTATTCTCTACCTTTGTTTATTTGTTTCAAACCAGCCAGTTGACCTTATGTGTATACTTATTGTTTGGGTTACTTTGTGCACAGCTGCTCCCTGTATTGGCTTCTTCTCTTGAGTTTGGTTCAGCTGCCGCTCCAGCCTTGACTGTTTTGTTAAAGATGGGTTCCTGGCTTCCTGCTGACCAATTTAGTATCAAGGTGACCTTTTCTCTACTTATTATGATTAACACTGCTTATGAATTATCAAGTAGTCTGATTAGTAGAGAATGCTGGCTCTTTTCAGGTCTTGCCAACTATTGTCAAGCTTTTTGCCTCCAATGACCGAGCTATCCGAGCATGTCTTTTGCATCACATAGATCAGTTTGGGGAGTCAATGTCAGCTCAAACTGTTGATGAACAAGTATGTGATATACTTTATGGACAATCGGACATCTGTATTTGTTCCATAAAATTGTCTGCATAAATTTATCTATCTAATGATCTAATGTTCCTTTTTAGGTTTTTCCTCATGTAGCCACTGGTTTCTCCGATACTGATGGTACTATTCGTGAACTGACATTGAAGTCAATGCTCGTATTAGCACCAAAAGTGAGTTGCTTCTATCCTCCTGTTGGGTATGGGTCTATCAGTGAGATGTAGTATAAACTGACTGGACCTTAGTTATGAAAAAGTATAACTGTTTTGTCAAATTTTCTAAATTCGTTATTTTCTTGGTCACAATTTGTATTGCAAAGAAACAAAATATATATGTATTAATTTGGTAACCAATATTGTCTTGTGTTCAGTCTTATTCTGTAAATGTGTTTTTTCTAAGGTTGATATTATGCAAGGTTAGGGCTGAATTCCTATAATCATTTTGGCTGTATGAACTCATATCCTTGCCTTTAGACGTAGGAGCGTGCACATAACACACCACAATTTACCATGACATGCTTTAATGGAATACTTCTGGGATTTTAGATCCTCATGCACTGATTTTTATTTTCTGCCAAAAACTATAGATTTCCTGATGACTGATTGTCTGGTCTGTTACTGCAGTTATCTCAGCGTACAATCTCAGGATCTCTCTTGAAATATCTCTCTAAGCTACAGGTGAAGTTCACTTTTGGATTTGAAAAGGTTTATACTGCAGTTATGGTAGACACTGCTTTCTGTGACAGGTGGACGAAGAACCTGGAATCAGGACGAACACTACAATTCTTCTTGGCAATATTGCAAGCTACATGAATGATGGGGTCTGTCTCAAAGATACAACTATTGTGTTATTTGTATTCCTTGTTGATTATCCTTTTCCATGTTATGTACTAATTAGACATGCTGAACATGTTGTGTTAGGGAATTTCATGGAAATTAGCTTTAGAGATATTAGCAAACATGCCAGTACGTTGCATTGGAACGTACAACGCCATCTGTTCCAATCCATCTTGGAATTGGACTATGTACCATGGCTAGACGCGTGCTGTTCTAACTCATATGAGCACCGGTTGTGAGTTTGGGTCACGGACAAGACAATAAACCAATCAGGATTTGTATCTCTAATTCATCATCTAGTACCATTTTTAGTAAAACTGGCTATAACTACTACTATGCTTGGGGAAGTGGAGGGACGGACTGGGGGAGAGTGAAGGACGAAAATTTGGAGGAATAAATTTTCTCCTTTTAATATTAGGTATATAGCTATAGATGTCAACTGTGTATAGGGGAAACTTTTGGAGTTTCTTATACTCTGGATATCCATTTGTTTGAAATTTGCTTTAAACACAAAAAAAGGTACAAATATGAACACATCCATTTGTGTATAGGCTTCTGCTTCCATGTTCAAGGTTTTACGTTTCTGTTGAAGAGACACTTTTTTCACAGCTGACCTGACTGGTACACCTGGTTAAGGGTATTCAGTACTATCTATTGCTGCAGAAACATGATTACAGAGCAGAAAAAATATTATGAAAACTGCCTCTATCTAGGATTAGCCTGTATATATGAAGTATATATGAAAAATAGAACTGTATCCATATTAGCCTGGAGATGGATTTTGTTTGCTAATTCTAGCATAGTGTTTGCCTCTTTTCTGACAAGGCTTTGTTATCTGACAGACCAGGAAGAGAGTACTGATCAATGCATTCACAGTTCGTGCATTACGTGATACCTTCCCTCCGGCCAGAGCAGCTGGTACATACCTTTGCAAACGTGCTGTTTTAGTACTGTTAGATCTATGAGTATTTTTCAGTGAGCAAGTGAATGCTTTGTACCATACATGACATTTATTTACTCTTGCTTCATGGCAGGAATCATGGCACTGAGTGTCACTAGTTCATACTATGAAGTGACAGAGATTGCAACTCGCATCCTGCCTAACATTGTTGTCCTCACCTTTGACCCAGATAGGTAAGCTCAGTCTCTACTTTCTCCTTGTTAGCTGGTAATAACAGGCTTCATCCCTGTAAAACTTCTGGGGATCTGAAATAGATGATTGCGTGTAAGGTTTTTATGGCGCTAGACCAGGCATACCATCTTGGGCACAGGGAAGGATGTGTTTTGGTGAAGATTGCACAAGTGTAATCAGCGTATTTTTCACACATATATTGTAGACAGAACAAGGAAGGGAAATTAAGGATAGGAGGCACTAGCCTATCTTTGGTCTTGGCTCATCACCAAACTCTAGCCGAACAGGACTCTGATCACCAATCCCTCATACCCTGTGCTACTGAATACCTACTACTACCAGGTGATTGTGCCATGCCAACCCCTTCACCGGGCTGCTGCTGGCCAATGCATCCATTCCAATCTTTTGGCCTTGGATTATCCACACCATGTCGTAAAATCCTCATCAACCAGCTGTGGTGTGATGTCCTGTAAGCTGACATTAACGACCTTACCATACCTGCTGAGCGAGCACATAGCTGGTCAGCAAGTGATGGATTGTCTCGTCTTCCTGAGCACACAGCCTGTCGGCTGTCCAGCACTGATTGGAGAAGTCCAAGTTTTCCAAATGCGCCGACAAGGCTCAGAGGTCACATGTCCAGTAAAGAAAGCCTTTTAGGTTTGGTTTGATATATGCATGTTAATCGCTAATAAATAGTAGTACTTGTTACATTCGAGTCGATTTAGATTGTTGCCTTGGTGTCAGCAAACTTGAATGCTTGTCACCATTCATTCCATGTCTGTATATGGTACTATGCATTTGTCCATCATAGTCTACTTTTTTCCCCTTTTTGTGGAGTGAGTTTTGGTTATAACCTATTGTCATAACTGTGGGCCCACGATTCAGTAGCATGTGGCACAGAGATCAAATTGGAGAAATTGTTTGAGCACTAGATGCACAGTTGCTAAAAGAAAAGTGCTTGATGCCTTTCCACTTTGAATGCAACAATATCTTGCTAACATACTTTTCTGCACCATATTTTAGTGTTTTGGTTTTTATAGCAAATTTCTTTGATGTTTCTATAGTGATGTCCGAACCAAGGCTTTTCAGGCTACCGATCAGTTCTTGCAAATAGCAAAGCAACACCATGAAAAGGTATGCATATCTAGTTTCGTACTTATGACCTATCCACTTGCTGGATCACTTGAACCAACCAATATTTTGCTTTTAATGGTGTGCCATATGCATTTTCTTTTTATGTTCTGAAGCACCGATTGTCTTAAGACTTGAGTAAGGCAGAAGGTAAAAATCACAGAATTATATTCCTCTGAACAATACCAAAATGAAAACACATACTCTAAAAGCATCATTGCAGTTCGTGATTTGGTTCTGGATCCTACCAAAAAATGGAACTGGCAAGCATTCGTCAATGCTAGTTATTTGAACTTTGTTCATTTAGATTAAAGGGTTTTGGTACTTTTCATGGTTTAGATCATAGGTTAAAATGTTTTTAGAGCCTCTCCTTTTGGGATAAGGTCATCTGCTGTATTTTTACTAATGTAAATTAGTAAATATTCTACTTTACATTTCTGTACTGTCGATTTTGCTCTTCCTATGTTGTTTAATGTTTTAATTTTGTATCCTATAGCTTACTACGGGAGACAACAGGGTGGCTGAAAGTTCTGGTGTTAAGTTAAAGCCTGGAAATGCAGGTTTACTTGGGTAAGCTATCATACATCTTGGTTGCCAAAAGGAAATAAATATTGTTTATAATCGGGGCCTGTTTTAGTTCACTGCCACACTTTGCCACAGTTTGAGTCAATTGTTTGGTTCACTGCCACACTTTTGGCATGCCACAGCCCCACCCGTATGTTCTTGTCACACCTTGCGTAAGGTGGTGAGCAAATTGTTTGCCACACCTTAGGCAAAGTCTTGTGTGGTAGGGAACCAAACAGATCAAATCATTTACGCTTAATATTTCTCGTTGAAAGCTTCGCCCAATGCATCATGGACTTCTGAGTATCAGTAATAAATTTACCTACATTTGTGAAGGAGTTGGGAAAGCATGCCGGTTTTAAGCAGTAACCACATACTGAATGATATGTTATTTTAGTCTGATGTATTCTATTGGGTTGTTTATTCAAACTTGTCTGGATACAGGTGGGCCATGAGTTCTGTTACACAAAAGGGTAAACCTTCTGACCATGCCCCAATATCTACTGCAAATGCCAGTAATTCTCAAGCATCAACAACTTCGACTGCCGCTCCAGGTATTGGTAATTTAGTTATCACAATTGCTTTTATCCCTAACATCTCTACTGTTCTCACATGCATAAAGGGATGAGGTTTAGATTTCTAAAAAAGAGGATTAATACAGTACTCCTGTCAATTCTTTTTTAATTGTTATGAATACTTGTAGGTTTCTGGATGCATCTGACAACTAGCTTTTACAAGTTTATATTAACATTTACTAAATAATTTATACCTAAAAAGGGCAGACCCAGTGCCGGAGGCTCCCACATGAGGGGGGTCTGGGGAAGGGAAAAACCGAGGCAAGCCTTCCCCCCGCAAAATCTGCGGAGAGGCTGCTTCGAACCCACGACCTGGTGACTTAGTGAGACAGCTCTCACCACTGCACCAGGCCTGCCCTTCAAATAATTTATACCTCTATGAAATAATTTCAATAGAAAAATCTGTTAATATGATTTTTCATATAAATCAAACTTTAGAGGTTTTACATATCAATGGTCAGAATTCAGAAAGTTGGATGGAACTGATCCTAGCCTTTGGTTCGTGACAAACAAGAAAGAACAGAAAAACCATGACAAACAAGAATTGATAATGCCATGTGTTGTTATTAGTACCTTCATGCCCCATTGCAGCATCTATTCTAGTATTTTTTTTTTGTGGACTATTCGAGTGTGAGCACCTGTAGTAGTTCTCTTCACTTTAAAAGATCTACAATTGAGTATCAATTTGAGTATCCTGTAATTAGTACCTTCATGCCCCATTGCAACATCTATCCTAGTATTTTTTTTTTGTGTGTGTGTGGACTATTTGAGTGTGAGCACCTGTAGTAGTTCTGTTCACTTTAAAAGATCTACAATTGAGTATCAATTCGATTTCCAGACACTCAGGCTTCCACACCAGCGTATGCACCATCCACATCCAGCTCCCTTGATCAGGCTGCACCAGCATCAGCAAGGTCTTCAGTAGATGGGTGGGGTGAGCTTGAGGATGGTAATATCCATGAGGAGAATAGTAGTGATAAAGATGGATGGGATGATGTAGACCCGTTTGAGGACAAGCCATCCCCATCTCTTCTATCCAACATACAGGCTGCTCAGAAACGTCCAGTGGTGCAACCAAAGCAAGCCGGTAAGTTGCTTTTGTCAAGTGTATTGTTTTGTTTCATGCAGTTGCATGGTCATATTTCATTACAATTGTACTATTGCAAACATAATCAAATTCGAAATTACCCACGTGTGAACTTCGCATAGGGTGACATTTCCATCTATTACATCCTTGTGATTGTACCAAACTAATGAGATGACCATTTACTTTTGCCGGTTTTCTTCTCTTGATTTTCTCAAATGCAGTTGCAAACTCATCTAAATCCAACCCACTAAAGGCGCCAAAATCAGAAGACGATCCTCTATGGGGTCCTATAGCTGCTGCACCACCCAAAAGTGCAGTAAAATCTGCAGACATCAAGCCATCAACATCACATAATGATGATGATGACCTCTGGGGTTCAATAGCGGCACCTCCTCCAAAATCATCTGGGAAGCCTATGAAGCCAGCTGCAGCGAATAGTGATGACCTATGGGGTGCCATTGCAGCACCTCCACCAGCAACCAAAGCCAGACCCTTAGCCTCATCAGGTAGGGGCCGAGGAACAAAGCCGGCGCAGCCAAAACTTGGTGCTCAAAGAATAGGAAGAACATCCTCAACTGGAATGTGACGATATCAAGTGTTGTACAAGAATGCAAAGTTTTCCTTTTTGCCCCTCTTGCTTTGAGTCTGTCCAGGAGGTCATTCTTTGTAAACTAGCAAAAGGATTTATATATATGGACACGATTTGACCAATGTATAAGTATTATTTTACCATTGTGTATTAAAATAGATCCAGAAGACTTTTTGTACATCACAGCTACAGTCATCGTCCATATTATTAATATATTGCCCTGCCTTATTTTGGCTTGATTACTTGGGCATGTCCTTTTTGCTAGGATGAAACTTAGGACCTGTTTGGCACGGCTCTCTCGAGGGGCTCCTCCGGAGGAGCCGGAGCCGTTTGGAGGAGCCACAAATTGTGGCTCCTTCAAAACGGCTCCGAAACGGCTCCGACTCCTCTTTTTTTTACTGAAAAACGGCTCTTCCAAAAAAACGTTTGGCAGGGCTCCTCTGGAGGAGCCGGAGAGGAGCCCTGCCAAACAGGTCCTTATATACTTGTTGAGATGAAACAAAAATCCCACATCAGTTTGAACTCAAATTCTGTAGGAAGAAATTCTGGATTATAAACCATTCTGGACATTTTGAAGTCCGACTCTCAGCTTATCTACTCTATCAGCAGCCGTTGCCGTGATTCAGGTTAATATGATTCTGCATTCAGTGTTACAGTACATATGCAATCAAAAATATCCACACCAACTACTCACTATTCAGAACGGAGTGAGTTTGGCTGGGCACTGGTTGGGTGGCCCTTCGACCGAAAGTGCATTACAATGCAACATTTGTGCAGCTTTACGTCTTCGTCGCCCGTCGGTTTGTTTGGACGAGCAATGGTAGATTGGTTCCCTCGTCACGGTGCAGCACTACCCTGACCTAGTGTTTTGCTCATCTTCCTCAAGTTCAAACCTGCACGGCTGCATCGGGCGCTAGCAGTGGAGGACGTTGTAGTTTGTAGCACGTCTGGATAGGTACATCCCATTTAGTGCCTTGTTCAAAGGCGACAAATGGTCACACCCAGCGGCCAACACCAGGCCCTTCACCAGTAATCTTTGCAGGAACAAACTCCACCATCGAAGCGATGGAAGCGGCTCGCGTCCCTGACCAGGAACGCCCTGTTGGTAGTGGCCGAAACCACCTTCAAGAAAGAGTGGCAGTCCCCGCACACCCTGAGGTTCTTGATCACCACAATCTCACTGCCGGCCTCGGTGTTCAGCAACCCAAACGCCACTGCCAACTTCTCGCTGTGAATCCCAACCAGCGGCTGTGCAGCCGCCTTCTCCATGCGTCCCTTGGCGGCCGCCACTTCGCTCTCCCTCACTCCCGACGACTTCTCCTTCACCATCAGCTCCAGCCTGATCACCAGCTCGTAGATCCTCCTTGCTTGTGGGTGCGAGTGGTCGTCGGCCATGAAGAGGTGCACCCTCCCCTTGTGCTCGACGTAGCTGCATCCGGGCTCCTTCTTGAGCCCGCGCTCCCTCATCATCGCCCGCACCCTCGCGACATTGTCCAGCTGCCCCGTGTCGGTGTATATGTTTGACATGAGCACGTAGTATCCCGCGTTCCTCGGCTCCAGCTCGACGACATTCGCGAAGGCCTCCTCCCCAACCTCCACGTTTTTGTGTATCTTGCACGCACCAAGAAGGGCACCCCAGACCGCGCCGTCAGCCGGCATGGGCATTGATGAGATGAGCTCTCGAGCCTCCTCCAGGCGGCCAGCACGTCCGAGGAGGTCCACCATGCAGGTGTAGTGCTCCAGCGTGGGCCGCAACTTGTAGACGCTCTCCATTGTTGAGAAGTACTTGCGCCCCTCGTCGTACAACCCGGCGTGGCTGCACGCGGAGAGGAGGCCGACCATTGCGACGTTGTCCGGGCGGATGCCTTCGGACACCATTCTTTCAAAGAGGCTGACGGCGACGTCACCATTTCCGTGCATGCCGTGTCCAGTGAGCAGCGCCGTCCATGACACGATGCTCTTTCTGGGCATTTCGTCGAACAGCTGCTGCGCTCGAGGCAGGCTGCCGCAGCGCGCGTGGAAGTTGATTAGCGCGTTGCAAAGCTGCACGTTGGTGCGGAAGCCCGGGAGCCTCTGGCGCACGTAGTGCTCAACGTCGAAGCCCACACCGAGCGCGCCGAGATGCGCTGCGGAGGAGAGCACGCCGACGATCGTCACGGCGTCCGGCTCCACCCCGCCACCTTCGGGGCTACGCATGCGGCGGTAGAGATCGAGGGCGTCCACGGCCAGGCCGTTCTGCGCGTGAGCTGACAGCACAGCGTTCCACGACACCAGGTCGCGGGAGGCCAGCGGCATCTCGTCGAAGACCCTCCGGGCGAGGGCCGCGCCAAACGCGCCGCCGCGCGCGTATGTGGATATGAGGCAGTTAGCCACGGAAGTCTCGGTGGCGAACCCGACTCGGGCAGCGAGGGCGTGAACCTGCGGCACGACGCTCAGAGGCGCGGCAGGGACAAGCGCAAGGAGGGTGACCGCGTCGAAGCGGACCGCGGCGGCGCGCATGCGGTGGAAGAGAGCGAAGCAGGCCACCGGGAGAGCGTGGAGGGCGCAGCCGGAGATGACAGAGTTGAACGCGGTGCGGAGCGTGGTGTGGGGTGTGGACTCGAGAGGCATTTCGTCGAGGAGCTGGTGGGCGAGCCGGAGGCTGCCGAGGCGGGAGTAGGCTGTCAGCAGCGCGGAGAGCAGGTAGGCGTCGGCGGCGGGGAGAAGGCCGCGCTTGGCGCCGAGCGCGTGTATCTGGGCAACGCTGGAGGGCAGGGACAGCGCGGCGCAGGAGATGACCGAGGCCGGGAGCGCCAGCGCGTGGGGCGGCGGCGAGGGGTCGCCGTGACGTAGGAGAGCAAGAGACTCCCTGTGCCGCCCGAGGCGCGTGAGGGCGCGCACCCGCGCGCTCCATGGCTCAGTGGAATTTGCGTCGCCAGCGACGGCGACGGCGGAAGATTCAGTGGCCATGCTCCATGGGCTATCATTTCTCATTGGGAGAAGGTTAGGTGTTCGATCATATGCTTCTCTCGCTGGCGGGCGGGCCCGTGCTGCCAGGCAGCCACTCTTGGTCTTGGTCTTGGTCAACTGAAGCAGCTCTTTCTTTCTTTCTTTCTTTCTTTTTTCTTATTATTTCCCAACTTGTTCTTGTTAGCTACGAACTTACAATCAAATCTTAGAGTTTCCGCGAGATACAGATCGTTCAATAATAACAAGTTTGATAAGTAATTAGCATAGACTAACATACCCTCGTTTTATACAGCTTCCAAAACGAATACACAATGAGTGAAAAAAATGTGCATCTTTCATGGAAACCAAAAAAAAAAACTAATCAGGCTCATTGCAATTTACAAGCAATTCTATGAAACAAATAGTAAAAGAATGAAGAATCGTTCATGAATTTTCACAAATCACCACGCCGCTGAATCTTTCTTTCCGCCCTATATAGTATCCAAAAAGAATGAAAAAAAAAGAAGAATGCACGCTCAGCTGTACTCGCCGTACCGCCGGCTGCGTAGAACCGAGCTAACGGAGCTGTACCCCAGCACGCGGTGCAGCGGCCCCGCCGCCCGTGGCTGCTCGCCGCTCAGGTTGCTGCTTCTCGCGAGCGGATACTCCTCGGCGTCCTCTCCGGCGCAGACAGCAGGCTGCGGCGCTGAAAATATTTTCTTGGGCAGGTCCGTCGAGCCGATCGCCGGCAGCGTCAGCTCGAACGTTTCGCCGCAGCCCCCGCACTGCAGCCTGGAGATTCTGCCGGCGGGCAGGGCGGGCGGCAGCTGCAATACCTCCGAGCACTCGCCGCAGACAACGAACGGCGTGCCGCCCAGCACCGGGAGGCATTGGTGCGCCCGCGCCCTGACACCACCGCGCCGGCTGCTCGACGCCGAAGAGGAGGACGAAGTGCTGGCGTCTCTGCGCGGGCACTCGGCTGGCAACGCCCGCGTGAGCTGCGACTCCAGGCGTCGCATGAGGCGGGAGCTGCGCCTTGTTATCGTACGCTTGCCGCTGCTCTCGTCGTTGCAAGACGCGCTCAGCCGAGGCATGGCGCCCTGCCAGTGCCCGTCGATGCTCCGCGGATGGTCGACGGCGGCGATGAGCTTCCGGAGGTTGTCCAGCGCCTGCAGGAGGTCCTTCTGGAACGCCGGATCACTGAGTGGCGTCCTCGTAAGGTCGGCCGGCTCGAATCCTGACAAGGCTGTCGCCAAATCGAGTTCTTGCGAGCTCAGCGGCGACGACCGGCGCGTGTAAGACGTCGCCGTCGCCGTCGCCGTCGCCGTCGCGGGCGCGTCGGAGTCCGACTCGGTGCCCGACCCCGCGTCGCTGCGCACGTCCACATCGCCGCTGCTCGATCGCCTGGTCCGCCGCGACGACGGCCGGAGCTGGGTCACGCGACTGTGCAGCGGCGACGCGCTTCTCGCGGCCTCCGTTTGGTGATCCCGATTCAGGCCGGAGCTGAGAGCGCCGCCGCCGCTTCTTGGACCTGTCCTGACCGAACCAGAACCAAACTGTCTGTCTCTGTACGACGAGGACGACGCGGCTCCTGCGCCCTGCCTGCTCGGCACGGAGCTTCTTCCGGTACCTGACCTGCTCTGCAGCGGCGGCCGCCCACCGTCATCATCCTCGACGGCCCAAGCCGACCTCAGGTTTGGCGGTTCGACGTCGTCGGAGAACACAGACGCGGTGTCGGCGGAGAGGATCTCGAGCTGCGCGAGCGCGTACTCGGTCTCGTCGGTGGGTTGCGGGTTCTTGCCTGCAGCAATGCGGGAGGAGAATTGAACCCATCAATCGATCGATCGCGCCGGGTGCTGAACAGAGAAGGCGACACGACACAGCGTCGTGTGCCGGAACTCGTCCCAGTGCTCGCGTACCTCGGATGGGCGTGCGGCACTTGCTGCAGTAGAAGATGATGGCGCTGAGGTCCTGGTAGATCATGGCGCGGCAGTACGGGCACCGCCCGAACCGCGACTTCACCTCCTCGGTCTGCATGACGCTGCCGCCGGCCAGCGTGCGGCTTACCTGCAAGAAGAGGGCTGGAATTCGTGAGCGGCAGCGACAAAACCGCGTCGCATCACGACGCAGAAGCAGAACCGACAGAGAGGCATACCTAGACCCGCCAAACTTTTAAGAATTCTCTCGATTTCTCCTCCACCTCTTCATCCACTGATCTCAACAAGGAAGGGAATTCGCTGCTCTTCCCTGCTCAGGTCCGTTCCAAGAAACCCAGGGTCGGTCGTCCACCTCCCGAGACGTGAAGCCGGATCAGCAAAAGGATGGTGGACGCGGAGGAGCCGGGAGAATCGTCGTCTCTTGCGACAGCTAGGAAGCAGTAGATGAGGTGCGTGAGGACAAGCTGTGTTTGACTAGGACATCTTCTGCTTTGCACAAAAAGGCTGTCGTGGCGAGATTGCTGCTTCCAAACCGCCGTTGACGGACGCCAACGCGAGTGAAATGGTACGGTAGGTGCCAGGGCAACGCGCACGGTTGCTGAAAGCGAGGCGGGGAGACCCAGTCCCCCACTGCTGTATGCGCTCGAGCACAGTGAGGATGCGTCCCCACACGCCACCATACGGTTCACATCCTATTCATCACTCTCTCTTTCAATCGCTGTTTTACATGAACTCTTCCAAATAGTTTGAACTGTTCTTGCGTCGGGTAACCAATGGGTCTACTTAGAAGGAACCAGAGTTTGTTATGCAAATCTTTGTTAGGTCGATCTCTATCAATTTGGTCCAATGATTAATTGATCCTTGACTCACGTTATGATCGGGGGTGCTCAACCGCTTTCCTGGCTGGTGGCTCTCGTCGCGCAGCGCTATCTAAAGGAGGTGGGGGCTGGGGCTCGAGATAAGAGGTTCACCGCAGCCGCCAGTTCCCCACCGAGTCTAACCCTAGTCCGACCTAGAGAGAGCGCTGTGAGCGACGAAAAGCTCCACCGGCCTTCACTGGACCGCGTCACCACTACGATTCTACCTCTACTCCGACACTAGAGGTGCGTCGCGCCGTGCCATGGCGAGGTACATCACCAAGTCTCTCATCTAAGTTATGTTTTTATCTACTGATCTGCACCTATAGGTTTCAGAATTTCTATCAATGGTATCAGAGCAAGGTTATGTTATAGATCTAGCCCGGGGTAGTATCAGTTTTTAACATTTAGAAGGAGATGAACGAATTGAGTCGAATTGGGTTGAAACCCCAACCCTAGCCCAAACCCTAAGTGAGAAAAGAAAGAGCGTCGGCGGGACTTAACTTTCCCACCTGTTGGCCGCCACCACCTAGCGCCGGATGGTGCCATGCGGGAAGTACAAGCCGAGCCACCGCACGGCGTTGCTTCGCCAGTGCACGAGCCAGGGCTCAGGGCACCGCCTCACGGTCGCTTGATGGCGGCGCGCTCACCCTCGGGCAAGCGCGCGCACCGGCGAGAGGCCTCGCGGCGGCGCCATCGTCCTCCTCCAGCCGCGGGCCACCTCTTGAGATCTCACTTGCTCCGTGCGGGGATAGAACAGAAGGGAGGATGAGCGAGAAAAGAAGAGAAGGAAGGGGAGCCGGACTTGCTCCGGCGGCTGTCTTCCTCACCATCGCCGATGGCCACCGCGGCTAGTTCGAGTCTTGGGTAGAAAGGTGAAAGAAATTAGGAGCTCAAAGATTTCTAAGTTTTTCCCAAACCCAAACCCTAGATCACAGAACGAAGAGGAGGAAGGGACCTACCTGGGTTCTTTCCCCGCCGTTACGACCGCCATCGCGCGAGAAGAAGGACCCGCCACCACCTCGCCGGCACGTAGGAAGATGGGCGAGCCGCGCTCATCGCCGTGCGCACGAGCCCCGGCCGAGGGCACCACTACAAGCCCGCTCGACGGCGCGCTCACCCTTGGGCGAACGCATGAGCCGTCGAGGGGGCCTGCGGCAACGCCGACCTTCTCTTCTCCGACAGCCTTGGGTCATCATCGCTGCTGCGCCACGCGCTGGGCACTGATGAGAGAAGAGGGAGAAAGAACTCGAATGAGTTAGGGTTAGGGTTCACGGCCATCACGTGGAGTTTTGATCTCGCGAGGAGCGCGGACGACCATCGAATGGCTGTGGACGGCTCATATCACTCGGACCGAAATCAGCTGTAACACCCTTGGTGTTACACCCTAAATCAATTATCAAAACATATCATGAGCATCATGTTTATGTGTTAATGCATGTGATAGAATGTGTAGATAAATTTCTTATAACTTAAAATAATCAATAAAAATGCTAAATAAAAGTTGATTCAATAGCTCATGTATATCAAGTATGATTTAAAACTAATTTTTATTAAGCAAAAATACTATAGAACATGTGTGTGATACTTAAATAAAGTTTGAAGTACAAACCTTGTAGATGACAGTGAAATACTTGCTGACGAAAAATGATATTACTAGCTAATATTTCTACTAGCTTAGAAATCATAAATTAAAATCAAATTAAAATCAAAACTTAGGAAATTTCCAAGTCCGTCAACAGCTAGACATTGCTATGTTTAGTAAATTATTTTAAGAGATTGGGTTAGAGGGTGATGCGGTGTTTTTGCTTGGCTGAGCAGCCTCATGTATCAGTTTGATCGTGGTGAAGTTGGTTTTGGTTTAGAGGCAATGGATTTAGTGGTAGTCGCTGCTTTAAAATCTGTGCACAACACGTTCTTGGGCTAGCCCTCTGGGCTGGGCGTGGTCACCATGCCGTGGGGCGCACCATCGTGGCATTAGAGTGCTCTGCTTGCGCACGCGTGCTGCCGCGCTTGGCTGGCCTGATCGCCCTGACCCGACCGCGAGGAGTCACCGCTGTTGTGGCTTGCCCGATGATGTGTGCGCCGCCCTACCTACCTGCGACCGTCGCACCACCAACCCACTGCGCGTCGCGACGCAGCCGCGCCATTCTTTGTCGCATCACGTCACGCCGCGCGCCGCCCCAATCGCATCGCACTACGCCGCCTACCGCTGCATTGCCGTCTTTGCGTCCATCGCCCGCTTTGATGC